TTTTGGAATATTTTAGAGTTTAAGGAAGCTCAAGTGAGGTATGTTGGCTAAACTCTTCTCTTAGAATTGAACACCACATTATTCTTGTAAGTTTCAAGTTGTCCACCACGAATCGATTATTCCGAATTAGCTTTGTGACAAGAGATATATGTTTCACACGTGTTCCAAATGTTATTGTTGTGTTGTGTCATTATTGTGAGAACGTGCTCAAGGTATGAATTGTACATCTAAATATTACAACTTCAAGTCGTGTTTCAAATAAAAATTGTGATGCTAAATTGTGTAGAGATTGTGATTGGGAATACACCTCCACTCGCATACATTGGGGTGAGGCAGCAAGGCCGTTTTGTATAGAGTTTTGGTATTGTGGAATACACCTTTACCCGTATATATTTGGGTGAGGCGGAAAGGCCGCTTTGTGTAAAGTTTGGGTATAGTAGAATACACCTCCACCCGCATACATTGGGGTGAGGTGGCGGAGCCGTTTTGTGTAGAGTTCCTTGTATTGTGAGTGCACCTCCACCCGCATATATTGGGGTGAGGCGACAAATCCGCTCTGTGTAAAGGTAGTTGTAGAGAATCCCCGACTGGAAATTTATAAATGTTATTGGAAGGTCTTAACAAATCTGGTTGACTTTTATGGCTATCTAAGCCCTATGATTGTTATCATGATTCATCATATTCATGTTGTATTTCCAAATTCTTGAATAGATGTTTTAGTTTTCATACTAGTACTATTCGACATGTACTAACGTCCCTTTTGCCGGGGACGCTGCATCTTTTATAGATGTAGGTGGTTCCACAGCAGGAGATATTGATCAGTGATAGCGGTACATCCCTTCCCAGCTGACTTAGTAAGTCCCACTTCATTTAGGGGTCATGTATCTTTTGTTCCTTGTGTATTGTGTTTGAGGTATAGTCAGGACCTTGTTTCCGGCACCATCATTATACTCTTCTGTATCTATTAGAGGCTCTGTAGACATAGTGTGGGTTGTATATTGGTGCTGGGGAAGTCAAACAATGTTATGTTATATTTGAATTACTTGTTCCGTTTCAGACCATGGAAAATATGTGTGAAATTTGAAACTTTATAATGAAGTAACTAGTGTTAATGAGTTGGTATTGCATACATGATCTCTTTATGGTCTAATCAACAAAAATATGTATTCTCTTTATTCATAAGTCAGTTTGGGTAGAAAGTATCTAATAGGCTTGCTTGACCGGGTTCACTCGGTTAAGCATCGATCGCGCTCCCCGAGTTCGGGGCATGACAACAAAGGTAGGGCGGAAAGAAAAACTCCCTGATAATCCGACCCCTCTAGGTCATCCTCAGATCCCTCACTATCAGACTGCACACCGGCCGAAGCTCTGACCTTATCCTCATCTGCATCAAGTGGCACTAATGCCATCGGGCCAACAACTTCATCATCAACAGCTCCCTCGTCATCCGACCCAACAACCGTGTTCTCATATTCAGATGGGTGAATAGGACTGCTAGTCATAATCCCCAACATCTCCTTTGTTGCATTAGAAAGCGGGTACTCAATGTTCAGTTGCGTTCTCTCTTCATCCATCACTCAAAGTAAGCGCATCATCAAGTACAATGACCCATAGATATACCTGTTAAAATTTTCCCCACACACATTATGAGCTATCGTGCTCAGCTTGGTAATGGTATCTAGCAGCACCGTGATGTCCATCAAGCTCTTAGGAGCTTCCTCCACCTCATCGTACCCTGGGTACTCAGGCACCTCCGAGATAACATAAATTTGTTAGAAGGTTGCCATAGAAATAACTCTTTATCTTCCGCCTGAACCGCGTGCGGGACATCTCTCCAAGCATAATCTCACCAACATTGACCAACCACCCAGTCATCAGAAAATAGATCAGGCATACCCAAGCCTGAGTGAATCCCGTGTTGTGTTCCGTTGGCATCAACCTTGATTGCACAAAATTTTGCCACACTTTGGCAATCTTGTTGAAATCCACTCGTAGAATCTCATTGTGGGTGTGATCCTTGGTCCTTGTCCAATTGGGATTTGAATCCACGCCACAATGAGTGTGAACGAATGGCCGTGTATGTTGGGATTTTCACAAACCTTGGCAAAATCTTTGGGTTTTGGATAGTCAACCCCTAGGAACTTGTACAAAGACTCCCTATCAAGTGGCACCTCCTTTCCTCTCACCCATGACATGTTCCTGTCCTCATTCCAATTTGCATACAACTCCTTGACCATGCTCAAGTTTTCAAGTCCAGGACACTCCAGCAATTTATTCATCTTCAAGCTTATCAACCTCTCTAGCACCTGAGGGAAGTTCCTGTCCAAACTGGCCACATTGATCCCCAACTCTGAGACACACATCCTATATAACTCGAAAGAATGGTACCATTGGATAGCATCTTCGCGAACCAATTTCAGCTTAGGTCGTGGTCCCAAAGGTGCATTTTTGGGCCCCTCAGCAAATTGGTTGCACTTGGATTGCCTAGAAGACCCCTCTCCTTGTTTTTTGCCTTTTGGGATGGGGAACGGTAGTGAAGGACTTACCCGCACCTTTTGCTTTGGTTGGACCATCACGAGCATTGGAACCTGCAAAAGAATCACCTCATATATGAGAAATAATCAAGAAATTAGCCTAAAGTTAAAGTGAAAGTGTAAGATGACCCCACACTTAGAATCGAAGGCCCTATGCAAGATACTGAAATTGGTTGCCTAACAAACGCACCAGTGTTTCACAACAAAGGCAATGGGTAGTCAAGACTTCCCCACGCCACTCAAGAATAATTTCACATATCACACCTTAGAAAAGTAACTAGGTGAATAAAGAATAATGGGGGATTTGTAGGAATTCAAGCATGAGAAGTATGACCCCCAATTACTACGAAGTAATATGATACACTAACCCATCCGAAGATATGACCTACAATACAACATACAAGTTATATACAAAAATTCGTGAGTAGGGAAGCTATGGTGTGGCATTCATAGCTAACACTCTTCGGGCGATGTCAACCCACCCCCAAAACACCCCACACAGAGCCCAAAACATCATATATAAATGTTCGGCTACTCAAACTTTGTCGGCACACAAGTTGTTCATTCAAGCAATTCATCAAACAGGTGGTGGACATCAATTGTGTTCATCTTAATTAAATAATGGGGTAGCATATTTACCCTCCCAAATTTGAACGAGGTAGAGAGAATTATAGTTTACTACCTCGCTTAACACATTCACAACCAATTACACCCACTAATTTCGCATATTCGTGTCATCCACCATAACACTCAAGTGTGAACTAGGGTGAAGTAGGGGAGGTAACCTAACAATGGGGGGATAGGGAAATGGGAGCAACACCAAAAACAAGTGAAAGAAAATAGAAAACAAAAGAAAAGGGGAGGGGATATACCTAGAGAGAGAGAGAGAGAGAGAGAAAGAGAGAGAGAGAGAGAGAGGAAAACGAAAGAGAGAGAGTAGAGGGATGTTGAGAGAAAGAGCAGGGAGAGAAAGAGAGAGATATACGGGTGAGAGAGGGAGAAGGGGTTAGGTTATTTTGTTTTAATTTAAGTGAGAAGGGAATGGCTAAGGGAAGTGGGTTAATAGGTGAGTGAAAACGGGTAGATGGGTTAAGAAAAATAAACAAAAAAAAAATTCACTTACCTGGCTGCAGACCAGCGCGATGCGCTGGCTGAGCGATGGCTGGAGAATTGTTTCTTGATCCAGCACCAGTGTAGCGCGAGGCGCTAGCCTAGACGCTAGATCATATNATATATATATCTGTTTTGCTCGAATATTTTATGCATCCCTTGCACGTTCCAATACCACTCCTACCTATAATTTCTATGACTACAAAGAAAATAAAAACAGTATACTACTCTAACTAAAAAGCTCAAAAAAACTAATCTATGAAAGCAATAAAAATTTGATTGCCTCCCAACAAGCACCTGATTTAACGTTGCGGCACGACACAGGGTCTCGCTTACTCATCACCGAGTAGCACATTTATCTTGTAACAATCAATAGCACCTCCCCAATAGTGCTTGACCCTTTTCCTATTCACCAAAAATTGCCTTTCTCCATTTAAATTACGCATCTCGATTGCACCATATGGGGTGACTTTCACCACCTCAATCGGACCTGACCACCTTGATTTTAACTTTCCAGGATATAACTTGAGCTTGGAATTGAACAATAGTACCCTTTCGCTTGGTTCAAAGTGATGGGGTTTGATATGCCTGTCATGCCATCTTTTAGTTTTCTCCTTGTAAAGCTTGGCATTTTCATACGCGTGCAGCCTAAACTTATCTAACTCATTCAACTGTAGGAGTCTCCTATCGCCCGTAGCTTCCAAGTCCATATTTAACTTTTTGACTGCTCAATAAGCCTTATGTTCAAGGTCAACTGGCAAGTGACATGCTTTCCCATGCACAAGCTTGTACGAAAATGATCTAATTGACATTTTGTATGCAGTTCTATATGCCCATAAAACATCATCTAACTGTGCCACCCAATCTTTTTTGTTCACACTCACTGTTTTCTCTAGTATTTGCTTTATTTCTCTATTTGACACTTCGGCTTGTCCACTTATTTGTGGATAAAATGTAGTGGCAACTCTATGGCAGACCCTATATTGGCTATAAGGTTATTTAGCAACCGATTGCAAAAATGTGTTCTTTCATCACTAACCAAAGCACGTGGAGTCCCAAACCTCGAAATAGGTTCTTTCTCACAAAATTAGCCACCACTTTGGCATCATTGGTCGGTAATGCAACGTCCTCCACCCATTTGGACACGTAGTCCACCGCTAGCAAGATGTACTTATTCTCTCTTGACAATGGGAATAGTCCCATGAAATCTATGCCCCACACATCAAAAATTTCCACCTCCGGGATATTAGTCAAAGGCATCTCATGCCTTCTCATGATTGTTCTTGTTCTCTGACACTGGTCACACTTCTTAACAAATGCATGGGCATCTTTGAATAATGTTGGCCAATAGAACCCCTACTGCAACAACTTTGTAGTTGTCCTATCGCCTCCATGATGACCCCCATAAGGCGAGGCATAGGAATCATACAACACTTGTTCTACCTTCTTTTCAGGAATGCACTTCCTTATCAACTGATCAGCGCACTGTCTATACAAGAATAGCTCATCCCAATAGTAAAAATTCACATCATGCAGGAACCTTTTCTTGGCCTCGGACTGGATTTCAGGAGGGAGAACTCCACTTACAAGGTAGTTCACATAATCTGCGTACCACGGGGCAGGATCATGTGTGATATAAAAAAGTTGCTCATCAGGGAATGTCTCATTAATTTGTCCACCTTCTTCCACGTGCTCATGATTCTCCAGCCATGATAGGTGGTCAGCCACTTCGTTTTTTGTGCCCTTCTGATCTCGTATTTCGTCAAATTCCTGCAACAATAAAACCCAACGCATCAATGTAGCTTTGGATTCCTTTTTGTAAAGAGATACTTGATTGATGCATGATCGGTGTGAACTATGACTTTTGTTCACACCAAGTAGGCTCGAAATTTCTCAAATGCTCACACAACGGCCAACAACTCTGTCTCAGTACTGGTGTAATTCAACTGTGCATTGTCAAGTGTCCTAATCGCATAGTATATAGAGTAAAACATCTTGTCTTTTTTTGGCCCAACAGTGCTCCAATATCATGGTCACTTGCATCACACATAAGTTCAAACGGCAAGGACCAATCCGGTGCCACAATAATTGGTGCAGCCACCAACTTCTCCTTGATCTATTCAAACGCCTTCAGATATGCCTCATCAAATTTGAATGTCACATACTTTTCGAGTAACCTGTAAAAAGCAGTAGCAATTTTAGAAAAGTCTTTCATAAAGCATCTATAAGAACCTACGTGTCCCAAGAAATTCCGGACACCCCTCATAGAAATGGGTGGTGGAAATTTTGCAACTGCCTCCACCTTCACCTTATCAACTTCAATGTCATTCCTTGAGACTTTATGGCCTAGAACTATGCCCCTTTTGCACCATGAAGTGGAACCTTTCCAAATTCATTACCAAATTCTTTTCTTCACATCCTGCCAACACCTTGGCCAAATTTTCAAACAATCATCATAAGAAGACCGAAAGACTGAGAAGTCATCCTTGAAGACTTGGATAATATTTTCCACCATATCGATGAAAATGGCCATCATGCACCTCTGGAAAGTGGCCGTTGCATTGCAAAGACTGAATGGAATTCGTTTAAAGGAAAAAAGTACCATAAGGTCATGTGAACGTCATTTTCTCTTAAACATCTAGGGCTATAACAATCTGGTTGTACCCCGAATATCCATCAAGGAAGTAGTAGTACTCATGTCCAGCCAACCTGTCTAATATCTGGTCAATGAATAGAAGTGGGAAGTGATCCTTGTTGGTTGCTTTGTTGAGCCTTCTATAATCAATGTAGACTCTCCACCCCGTCATGGTGCGAGTAGGAATTAGCTCATTTTTCTCATTCTCTACAACAGTCATCCCGCCCTTTTTAGGTACACATTGCATTGGACTCACCAAATTACTGTCAGAACTAGGGAAGATGATACCTGCATTAAGCCACTTAATTACTTCCTTCTTCGTGACCTCCTTCATAATGGGATTCAACCTCCTTTGTTGCTCAACACTTGGGCGGTGCCCATCTTCCATAAAATTTTAATGCATGCAAAATGATGGATTGATTCCCTTAATATTAGTAATTGTCCATCCAATAGCTCTTATGTGCTCATGAAGCTTAGAAACTTTTCTTCTTGCAAAGTAGTCAATCTAAAAGAGAAAATCACTGGCAATGTTTCAACACTTCCAAACTAGGCATAGCTCAGGTAGACTTTTGGAATGGCGAAAGTTGGAATTTTTGGAAAGTTTGACCAGGAGTGGACTTTTTGATATCGGGGTCGAATTCTGATTTTGGAAGTTGGAGTAGGTCCGTAATGTTAAATGTGACTTGTGTGCAAAATTTGGGGTCAGCGGACGTGTTTTGATAGGTTTCGGCGTCGTTTGTAGAAGTAGAATTTTCTTAGTTTTAATAGGCATGAATCGGGATGTGATTCGTGGTTTTGATGTTATTTGAGGGCTCAACTAAGTTCGTATGATATTTTGGGATTTAATGGTATGTTTGGTTGAGGTCCCGGGGGGCCTCGGGTTGATTTCAGATGGTTATCGGATCGATTTGAAGTTTGAGGGAATGCTGAAGCTCACCGGCTTCTGGTGTAGTCGCACATGTGAAGTGGGGATCGCAAGTGCATTTTTATAGAATTTAGAAGGGAGACGCAGAAGCGGCCAGGGAGGAAGTGAGCAGAGGTCGCAGGTGCGGAAGGTGCGAGGTTATTTCCGCACCTGCATGGTCGCAGATGCAGTGTTAAGGACGCAGAAGCGGAGGGCTCGCAGGTGCAATGGGGAGTTCCGCACCTGCGGTTGCACAGATGCGAGGCGAGGACCACAGAAGCGGAGGCCCAGCTCCAGTGGTTCACCACAGAAGCAGAATTTTGGTCGCTTTTGCGACACCGCAGATGCGATTATGTGTCCGCAGAAGCGGAAAGGCTAGACATAAAGTTAAATACAAGGGTTTGAGATTTTGGCTTCATTTCAAACATTTCAAGCACGGTTTAGGCAATTTTTTAAATAGTTTTTGAGGGGATTCTTGAGGTAAATCCCTTGTGCTTAATTTTTATCAATAATATTGCTTCTCCATTATTTTTCCCACCTAGTTGGTGTGTATTTAAGGTGTAGATTGGGAGTTTGAGGCTAGGGATTTGGAGAGTTTGATTTGGGGGTTTGGGTGACGATTTGGTGTCGGATTTTGATAAAATTGGTATGGTTAGACTCGTGGTTGAGTGGGGTTTCAGGTTTTGTGACTTTTATCAAAATTTCGAGACGTGGGCCTGGGGGCCGACTTTTGAGCCGGTTTTTTATTTTGATTAATAGCTTAGCATTTTCTTATGGAGTTGATTCCTTTAGCCCGTATTGATTATATTGCATTGTTTATGGCTATATTCGAGGCGTTCGGAGGACGTTTCGCAAGGCAAGGGTGTGTTGGAGTAGAGATTTGCTCGGACTAAGATAAGTAACAGTTCTAAATTTGGTTCTAAGAATACGAAACCCCGTGTTACGTATCATGTATTTAGTTTTGAGGTGACGCACATGCTAGGCGACGGGCGTGTGGGCGTGCACTATAGGAATTATGACTTGATCAAATTCCGTGGAACCGTGTAGTTGAATAATCTGTTGTTATCTGCACATTCTCCATGTAGTAGAGAAATTGAACCATAAATCATGTTAGAAATCATGTTTAGACTATGTGTTGGCACTGTATGGACCCACAGAGGCCATGTACATGTTGAATAATCTGCTAAATTGTTATTTTGTACTCAGTCACAGTTTTACTTGTTTATTATATCTCGATCTCTATTATTTCTTGCTGATACATTATATCATTTCTGTTGGTTCTAACTTTTATGACAACTGAGATCCCGAGAGACTGGAGAGATTTATGACTGAGTGAGGCCGATGGACTGATTGTGAGATAGTAATACTATAGCACGTGAGTTGTCCGTGCAGCACATGAGTTGTCTGTGCAAATCCAGATAGTATACTATAGCACGTGAGTTGTCCGTGCGGATTATAGCGCTTGGGCTGAAGGAGCCCCTCTGGAGTTCGCACATACCCCCAGTGAGCGCAGGTACCTACTGAGTGCAAGTGCCGAGTGCTGGGTGAATGAGAGGGTTGAGCGACTGTGGCCCTGTGAGGATGTATTTGATTCCATTATTGTTTCACTTAGCTACCATGTATCACTGTCTTAAAATTTCTGAAAGATATTACACTCTGTTTCACTTAAACTTGTCATGGAATAACTGTTTGACCTAATTTATCGAACTTGAGAGCATGCCTACTTTCCTATGTTAAATCACTGTAATTGAACTATAACTGTGAAGCTCATCACTACTTTTAGTTCTTTATTTAGTCTTGTTACTTACTGAGTTGGTTGTATTCACGCTACACCCTGCACCTTATGTGCAGACCCAGGTGCACCCGGTCACGGCGGTTGCTGAGTTATGGAGTTCGTATTCTCGGAGACTATCGAGGTAGCTGCTTGGCATTTCGGAGACCTTGTTTCTCCTTCCCTATCTTTCCACTTATTGTATTTAGTTTCAGATTATCATAGGCAGTATTTTTCGGACTTGTGATGTATAAATGCTCATGTACTCAGTGACACCCCGATGTTGGAAATTTTCGCGTTGTATTTTGGGTTCCTATCCCGTTTATGAAATCTTTTATTGTTTAAATTGCTTAAATTCATTTTCTGTTTACAGTGTTGGAAATATTTTTAAATGTCGGCTTGCCTAGTACCACGACAGGCGCCATCACGACAGGTTAGGATTTTGGGTCGTGACAAGTTGGTATCAGAGCCTAGATTACATTGTTGTCACGAGTCATGAGTAGGTTTAGTAGAGTCTTTCGGATCGGTACGGAGATGTCTGTACTTATCTTCGGGAGGCTGCCGAACCCTTAAAATATTTCACATTCTTGTATTCTTCTCGTGCAGATTTGTTTGTTTCGGAAACTAAACTTATGTATTCTATTCTCTCACAGATGGTGAGGACACGTGCTACCGGACAGGATGGACAGCCACCAGTACCACCAGCTAGGGCCACGAGAGGCCGAGGTCGCGGTAGGGGCCGCAGTAGGGGCAGAGGTGCAGCTCGTACAGCAGTTAGAACAGCACCTGTAGATCCACCAGTTGCTCCAGCTCAGGAGCAGGTTCCAGATGTAGTTGAGCCAATGGGGCCAGCTCAGACACCAGTTGTGCCTATTGTGATTCCAGGCCTTCAGGAGGCGTTGGCCCAGATATTGACAGTTTGCACTGGTCTTACTCAGGTGGTTTCGGCTCAGGCCACACCAGCCATTTCTTAGGCCGGGGGAGGTACTCATACCCCCCACTGCCCGTATTCCAGAATAGGCGATGTAGGGACTTCAGACACCGGAGATACTACATGCCCAGACAGTTGAAGCTACTCAGGCCTGGTGGTCCCAGTTATGGCTGATGATGATCAGAGGAGACTTGAGAGATTTGGGAGGCTTTGGCCTCCATCATTTAGCGGTGCTGAGTCGTAGGATGCCAGGGCTTCTTGGACAAGTGCCAGCGGATGCTTCGTACAGCAGGTTTTCTGGAGACAAGTGGGGTCTCGTTCACTACTTTTTATTTTTTTTGGGCTACCTTCAGATAATGGTAGGCTTATGAGAGGTGCAGGCCAGTCGGTGCAGCACCACTTACATGGTAGGATTCTCCGTTCTCTTCTTGGAGAAGTTTGTGCCGCTGTCTCTCAAGGAGGAGCTGCACAGACAGTTTGTCCAGCTTCGGCAGGGTGGCATGTCTGTGACCCAGTACGAGATGAGGTTTTCTGAGTTCGCTCGCCACACAGTTTGGTTGGTTCCCATTGATAGGGAGAGGATCATGAGGTTCATTGATGGCCTCACGTAACAGCTGCAGTTGCTTATGACTAGGGAGAGGGTATTTAGTGCTACTTTTGAAAGGTGGTTGACATTGCTCGGCAGATAGAGATAGTCTGTATCCATGAGCATGGTGAGAGAGAGGCCAAGAGGCCTCGAGGTTTGGGCAGTTTTGGTGGTGTACCTTCTGGGAGCAGTCCTACCACAGTAGGGGTCGTCTTTATAAGCCCGCTCAGATAACTCGTCCAACTCATTGTAGCGCATCAGCTAGCCACGGTTCTTACATTGCTCACACAGGCCAGTCTTCATTTAGTGCACTACCAGCACAGAGTTCTCACCATGCCTCGTCTGCTCAGGTTTCCACAGGTAGTTCCTCGGGTTATAAGGAGCAGCAGTTCTATCAGGGGAGGGGTTATTTCTAGTGCGGAGACTTTGGTTATATCAAGAGAGATTTCCCTATGTTGTTGAGTGGGGCTTCACAGCAGAGTTCTCGGCTGGCACCAGCACCAGCAGTTACACCACCCACTCAGCCAACTTGAGGTGGGGCTCAGTCTACTAGGAGCCACCGTAGAGGGGGAGGCCGATCAGGCGGCGGTCAGGCCCTATTCTATGCTATTGCTACCATGCCAAATATTGTTGCCTCTCATGCAGTGATCACAGGTATTGTCTCAGTATGCCATAGGGATGCCTCTGCATTATTTTACCCTAGTTCCACTTATTCGTATGTATCATCATATTTTTCTCATTACTTAGATATGCCCCGTGAGTCCTTAGTTTCATCTATTCGTGTATCTACACCAGTGGGCGATACTATTATCGTGGACCGTGTATATCGGTTATGTGTAGTGACTATTGGGGGATCGGAGACTACAGTTGATCTATTATTGCTTAGTATGGTAGACTTTGATGTGATCTTGGGTATGGATTGGTTGTCTCCATGTTATGTTGTTCTAGATTGTCATGCTAAGACCGTGACATTGGCGATGCTGGGGTTGCCGAGGATCGAATTGAGAGGTTCTCTAGACTATGTTCCCAGCAGAGTGATTTCATATTTGACGGCCCAGCGGATGGTTGGGAAGGGTTGTTTATCTTATTTGGCCTTTGTGAGGGATGTTGGAGCTGATACTCCTGTTATTGATTCAGTTACGGTGGTGCGAAATGTTTTGGATGTGTTTCCTGCACACCCGCTGGGCATGCTGCCC